ATATACGATAATAACTTATATTTTCTTTATAAATTTAATAGGGATCAACGGAAATTTTATTCACATGGAATGATATGAATGAGGTATCGTTTCTTAATTGTGTATCCAAAGTTTTTAATGCTGTAGCTCATCTAAAATAAATTAACTGCACGAATCTAAGCCATCAGTATTCGGGGGCTATGAACAGACAATGCCGAAAGATCTTATTCATTATGAGGGTTGGGAACACCGAGACTTGCACAATATTTATGGCCTTTCTTTTGTGAGTTCTGTGAATTAGCTTATATAATTTTATAAGCAGATTATTAACATAATTTAATCTCTGTAGCATAGGGCAACTGCTCAAGGACTTAGAAATCGTACTGAATCACCACGTCGACCTTTCGTGCTCTCCCGATCATTTTTTGCAGGTTCTCAACGATATGGTGCTATTTGGACGGGTGACAATGGTTCAAGTTGGGATTATTTAGCCATTTCAACTCCTATGCTATTGACTTTGGGTATTTCTGGGTTGCCATTTTCAGGAGGTATTAAACGGTCAATTTGTTTAAAGAAGAAAACTTGATGAACTTATCAATCTACTAATATGTTACTCTAGTTGATGTCGGTGGATTTGCTGGTGATCCACAGCCTGAACTCTTTGTTCGATGGTGTCAAGCAGGAGCTTTTGAACCCTTCTTTCGTGGACATTCTGATAATTATACAAAAAGACGTGAACCATGGGTATTCGGTGAACCATATACCGGTTATGTTCGTGATATAATAAAAGAAAGATATTCGTTGTTACCTTTATGGTATACTTTATTCTACGAAGCTAGTACCACCGGAATGCCAATTATAAGGTACATAATAATACCTGATAAATAAAACTTTCAATCTCGTTAATTTCATTTTTTATCAGACCTATGTTTGTAGTCTATCCTGACGACGAACAAGTCTACGAAATGGACGATCAATTTTTTGTTGGCAATTCGTTACTTGTCAAGCCTATTGTAAAGAAGGGTCAAACATCTACTGAAGTGTATTTTTCAGGAAACGAGGTGAGATATATGTTCAGAAATATGGTGTATTAAAATTTGATTGCTAATTTCGATGATATATAATTTTCAGATATATTACGATTATTTTACATTTGAAAAAGTTCACGGGCCCAGTAAAGTTCAAATTAATGCCCCTTTAAACAAAATTCCTGTCTTTTTACGCGGCGGATCCATTATTCCAAAGCGACAGAAAATTCAAA